TGGCACTGGATTTAACATGCTAAGGAAGCACACAAGTGCACACACAAAGGCAGACTCCCAAGCTGTTGTTGTTTCGATTTCGGCAGTAATAATTTCGGAATTTAAATGTACGAGGTCTCACCCAACCTCATACAAAGTGAAGCATAAATATGGTGACAAGACTGAACTTCGGGAAACTCATTCACTCAACAATCTCTACAGCTCTTGGATGGTCGATCAGATCTACCATTGCTTTCCACACATAATTTATGGTTTCGTGGTTTCACTGACTTTATTTGGTAAAATGCTCCACATGAATAAGAAACGAATGTAATTTCTAGACTGAACCCCATCTGCTAAATCCCTCCTAAGATCTGCCGCATCTGAATGATGCTCCTCACTATACTCTCCGAAACAAAGGTCTCCAGAACCGCCGCAAGATAATCTATTTTGGTAGACCCACAATGAACTGCAGCGCTGACTAGCAATTGTGAAAATTTGAAAATTGTTTTCTATTATTTAGAGGATTTGGGAAGTAATGATGCGCTGACCATGAAGAAAGTGGTTTGAACACCAGAAAGGCGGCGGGGATATTTATTGGCATATTTATGTAACGAGCTGTATTGTAATTATTCTACCTAATCTAGTCTGATTAAGCAAGGACAGTGAAGGCACAAGGGTTCGATGATATGCTGTCCTGACGGAGGCAGCTCCGTGAAACTATGAAATGAGCTGTAATTAGGAAAGTTTCATTGCTCTCGTAGTTTCCATTAATGCCAGAAGGGATCGAGTTCCAAAGGCAGAGAGCCAGGACTACTTTGGCAAAGCATTTCGGACATTTGATTGATCCTGTCATACGTTGACATCGTTGTCACATGCAAACCAACGAAATATTTCAGTGGTGTTAGAACCACAAATTGCAGCGGAGTGCCAGATCGTCTACTGAAACATCAGTTGCTGCGCCCTATGTTCAGTTGCTTTCGATGTTTGGTCACCGAACACTTATGTCTATGTCGACGCGAAATTCTGGAGCCTCCCTAGAGAGTCGAGACGAAAACGAGCTTACATCATGTACAGAATTTCATCGCATTCAGCACAGTTCACATGGAGCAGCTTCCATCACTTCACTGGACAAGTAGAATTCCTCTACACATTCTACTTGTGGCTGCCTGCGTGGGCAATGTGGTTTCTGATATGGAGAAGCCTGATATTGCTGAAAGACTCAGAAACAACTTGAAGAAAAGCAGACCCCACATGATGGGAAAACCTATGGATCGCATCAAGGAAGGAGAGAATAGTTTAAAAGATTGTGGAACGGCCTATTACATAGATGACTAATAAGGATCTCAAAAACATGCCCAACTACTGGGAAAACGAATGCAACAGGACATTACGAGAGGGAGTCGTTCTGAGTCCTAGAACAAAGACAGTATCTAACAAAACGGGTTAGCGATGTTATCAAGAATCTCATTAGGAAGGAATATGTCGGAACATTCAGACACGCAGGCGGGAAATATGTAGAACTCATGTGCGACGATCAATTGAAGATGTCCAAACATAAAGGTGGTGTGCGTGAGGGACCGAGCTTTTCAGCGATATGCTCTTTCGAATTTTGTTTCGCATTTTTGAACCATTTTAGTGAATAAAAATGCACTGCATTTTAGAGACACAGAGCAGTTCAAAAAATCGAGCGTAACCACCCAAACGACCAAGCCTACATTGATAAAACCAACCCTTATGTAAAATGGCCTCATGTCGTCAATTACACTCTCGACAACAGTTTAGGTTAGTTACTTACCTATACATTTTTTATCGCAATATGGACAAAGAATTTACAAAATCTTTCTCTCAATTTCAAGACAAACGTACGAAAGAAGCCTTCAAGAATGCAACGTATTTATGGATGAACGACACGTGCATTGACTTCAAGGAAGATGAAACTGAAGAATGTATCGTGTAGGAATTGTTTTTAAAATAACAAGTCCAAATCGATCTTAGTGTTTAGCTGATGAATTATGTTCTTGTGTATAAGGATCCGCGGCATGTTGGCAGAAGGTGCATACAAGGAGGATGGCAGCTAATTTCACTCGGAGACGAATGTGAAGCGGTACCGATTTCAAGAAACCTTGGGTGATCCCATTTATCCTCTAAAATACAAGTGTAACAGAAAACTAGCTTAACAGTTCCCTAAATTCTCTGTGGTGCTATTAATATTTCCTCCTCTTCTTTTCACTAGTTTGGACCGCAGTCAATGAAATTGCATGCACTTGATTTTCACTATACGCATAGAGAGCACGATCCGATCATTTACTTACGGGTTCTTGAAGACAATACAAAACGTAAGAAACTTGAGTCCTGTGGAACCATATCCGCACATCATGTGGTGAGTTTCAGTGTAGCTCGCTGGACCAGTTCAAAGCAAGAACGCCAGATACCAATAATAATTACAATTTAACGTACGACTACGGCAGTATAATGCACTACGGAGCTACAAGGAAAATATTATGTTTATGGAGAGATAGAAAAGAACAAATAGGAGCGGAGGAATAGAAAATCTGCAGAACCTATCATTATAATGCACTTCGTATTTATAGCTTTGCCAACGACTCAGGAAATTTCACTGTGATACCCAAAGATGTAATGTACACGGAGACTCTAGGATCGCATATTATTTCATTCTACGACTTGCTTATGATGAATGTGCATTACAATTCACCTGGTACGCGACACTATTGAAAATGTTCACCATCCAAGAACTTTCAAAGAAGGATGCATTCCGGTAAATGCAATGCTGAGGGCGCAGACGGAAAGTGCAGGAATGGTGGATTCGCCATCCACGTAATTGCTCGAAAATGTATTATGTCCCAGTGCGGATATGGTGGGACAGTTTTGCGATGAAAGGGTAATGTTCTGCAGCAGCTGAAGCTTGCACATTCCTTTGACAAACCCATTTAGCCACCTGGTTGCGGTGCAGTACTGAATGCGACTCAAAATTGGACAACGCTTGAAGACCCGCTCAACTCGACTGAACCCGGAAGAGACGGTTTTGGGAGATGCAACTACTGGATCACGGTCACTACTTTCCCCGAATGACTTAGTTATAATTATTGGTATATAATTCAATTGCAATTTCAAGGCACCAGACAACAAAACCCGTAGAAGTGAAAATCGTGAATGGTACAGGTATCTAAAATATGAAAGACCAAGGATGCACGAAAGGTGGAGTTGAAATCAAAGACACATGAAGGACCAACGTCGCACCGGTTACAGGTACACAGGCCATTCAAATAAGCATTTGTTCTCGATTGTATCGCGTATACGCAGGCTCGCCTTGCGAATGTTTTAGCGATTCTGGCAGGGTTGATGATACAAAACCCTTGGCGCAGGCGGGATCTCGAACACCGCACCTTTGCTTGGCCGGGCAAGTGCGCTAGTTACGCCTATCGCGGCCACCCAGTTTCATCAATAAACAACGCAGCTCTTCATGATGTTTCCTGTACCACAGTCTGTCAGCCACAAACTCATTCACGTACATATAGTCTTGAGGCGGTTAGCCTGATATCTCGCACTTGAACGGCCGAGGCTGATAAGATCGCGTCCGGGCGAATATCTGTTCAAAGCCCGCCTTCTGTGAAAAACACATAATCATTTTTTAGTCCATAATGTTTTTACCAAAGCTCTTTTGTAGGTTTTGCTCACCAGACGCCGTCAATATCACCCTCAAATCGAACTTGAGCAGGGTCCCTGTGATAACGTTCAAACTCGAAAGCGCGGAGTTTGGCGGAGGCGAGGAGGAAGTTATGGACGAAAGCCTCGATTGGACGATGAATACGGCAATGATACATGAAATCGATTACAGCGATTACTATGATGAAGAAGAGTGTCTCGTGTATAGGCATGGAGTACCGCAACGTCTTGAGGACACCGTTTTAGTAATAAAAATTGCTTCTCCAATTCTCTGTTTGAAGCATGTCCAGCAGCGCGAAATAGCTTCTGAAAGGTTTACTTCTCGATAGCATACACCAATCCGTGAAATGGTCCTTGATGACCACAATCGATCACAATGACCTCTCCTTTTGCTCTAACAATGAGTAAAAAAATACAAGGAATCCAAACCTTACAGTCATCGATCTACTGGCCTTAGTACCACCTCCCACATTCGAAACCTCTGCAAAGTTCATTATTAGAGTAGTTCATTAACGAATGCGACTGTCACTCAAACAGACATTGAAATTAGGCATCTAGACAATTGTGTCCTTGAGTAGAGAAACTTGCAAGCATTGATACCCTAGCAATTCATCAAGTGCTTGTATAAATCGTACGATTCGTTCAATCACGCTCCGTTTTGTGAGCATACTCTGTGAAGCTCTTTTTGGGCGTTTCCTTCTCTCTATACTTATCTAGAGAAACCAGACAGATGGAAGTTCAGTAAGACGGTGTGCAAGCCAATGGATAGAGGGGGTTCCGGGCCTCCAGTCATCCGAAGCAATATGTGATTCGTCGGAGCCGTCGGTGGTCGAGCCATACAGCAAACACTACATGAGAAGTGTGTATTATCCGATAAGGCTTTTTGTGCCCGATTTTAGTCTCATCTTGTTACTGTTCCAGCATAAAGCCTTAGATGTCAGAACAAATGATCGCTTCGCAGTTCTCTAAGTTACTTGTTGGAAAATGTATCTGTAACGAATTCCAGTATCACCTCAAAAACGATGTCCGGTTCAAAATTGCGATGGATGAGCCTTCTCGGGATATTCTTTCTACGTACTTTTCATAAGACAATGAATCACAAAAATATTTATATGCACGAAACATTACAAGATTAATAATTTAAGCTCTCTCACCAAGTGAGCGAGACTCGAATCGGTCAACAAGCGTTGCACGACAAAAAAAGACACATGAATAAGACAATCTAGGGAACACAGTGGAAAAATCACCATAATACAAGTACTTTCAGCTAGTGGCTCTTGTAGGCTGCAGCTTCGTGTGAGTTTGTCGCGGAGAGCACGCAGTGCTGTGCATTGCTAGACGTCTTCAATCTTGTTCAATGGTGTGTAGCCTGGTTCGAGTAGGGCGTTACGCCACGACAGATTGAAATTGCCGATTGAACCACTTCGTGATTGAATCCGTGAGTTTGCGTTCGTCGTGATCGCATTAAAATAGACCTGAAATGCATAAAATAATGGTTCTTCAAAAGTCTTTGTGAAATTTGTCATTGATTTTACTGCAGAAAGTCGTGGTATTGTAGAAATCAGAGGTCCTGTCAAAGCTTTCTTCACACTACTGACCTCGATAGGTTGCAACAATGTGAAGGGCTTTTCCTTATCACACCACAACCACGCCGCTCGTCATGCGATCCGCGAATTGATCGTACAGCTTTGAATCCAGAAAAAAAAGCAAAACAGTAAACGCTAATTTCGAAATTACGGTGAGGACGGCAGTGAAGAATTCCAGAAAATGCTGGATATAACACATTCAAGAAGCACTCCACAGGCTGAAAGACCTTGGAACGGGTATACTGCAATGGTAGGATCGACCTCAGCAAAGATGACATTCTCCAAGGAACGCCTACTTAAGGATGGTGTCAGACTTTGCGAATTGAGCGACTCACTAGCGAAGGCTTTCATGCCTTCTCGCACAATCATGCTTACGTAGACCTGGAAAAGTGGCGAGAGTAAACATGCAAGTGAGAGGAACTCCTGATGCTTCCAAACACTGTTCGACCGCTGGCATAAAGTTCAAACGTGATGCATAGCTGATGCCGGTGCATAGTTCGACTCACTGGTGCATCGGTCGTACCCCGCGATTCGCTGACGATCGTTCAATTCGTAGAGGCTGACACCAGCCTAACCACGAGTGTATCAGAATTTTCAAAGGTCTCGCCACATATATTGAATTCACTTTTTTACAGGAAGCGACGAAATAGAGATTGAAAAAACCAAAATTTCCAGACCTCGTTCAGCCGACTCAGAAATTTTGTAGGTATGTGCGAACGAAAAGATCCTCATCGTGGGAATGAGTCATTAACACCAAAACGATAGGTTGTTGCTTTCCCACCCAGAAGGCTACAGCTTTCTTTGCGTTGTATACACGTCAGAAACCTTTCTAACAAAAGCTCCTAGTGGAATGGGTAAGGTTACTATTGGAAGCAGCGCCACACCTGTTTTCTTGGGAGAATCGGGAATAAATCTGAAGTCTACCAAAGAACATCTTTGCTGCACTTCTCCCCTGAATGGTTATCAATACAGCGAACATCGTCCGTTCGTCGCTTATTCCAAGCTGGAGTTCAGTTTCACGTACATGTTTCGCCATTGTGGTCAATGGACATTGGGCCCTCTGCACATTGAGTCACCTGGAATCTGCGACCTGAATCCCTTTGGAGCGGAGCTCTGCTCAAAGGGATTCAGGTCGCAGATTCCAGGTGATGTTTCAGCTCTTCCAAGGTCCGGTCCACCCACAGACCATCTATGTAATCACTCGCCGCAGGTCTATACGTGGCGAGTGATTAGATAGCAGAGAGAGCGTAGTGTTGAAGAGGGCACAGCGATGAGAGTCGCATCAATGCGCAAATCAACGGGCAAGGAAGGGGTCCCATTTCTCGGGTTCTGGGCCGTTTCTCATGGTTCTTCCTTCTTTCGTGTACCACTCACCATCCCTAGGTTAATTTGAAATGGGTTGCTTTTTCATCGTGAATTCGTCCTTCAATCCAAGTACAACTTAGATTCGCGCTATTACGGGATTGACTTTTTATTGAAGATGATCCACACTCTGGCCACCTTCCGACTGGCAATCTCACTGCTCTCCCCGACGTCATTGAAATTGGGTTTGGACATGCTGGCCGCTAATTGCCAAAGCGCATCCGACGTTTCGAAGTGGCACACCATAGTGCCGTAAAGATTTGAAAAGGAATTTGTATCTCACATGCTCCGAGCCCAAGTCATCCGAACACGAAAGTTGCCTAGTTCTTCTCCCACAGTTCCTCATAGATCATCCCCAGCATATTCACCGGTGCTGTGGTGCGAGTGCAATGTGCCAACAAATCCATAAGCAGCAGCCGAGCTCGAACGATTGAGAAGTTCTAAAGCTCGACCTCCTCTGAGCACGATCCTACTCTGATCTCTAGCGCTCCTCCTCTAGAAGAATTTTATATCAGGTGACATGATCTCAAAACCGACATCCGATCTTTATTCGATCAAAAGCCTCAAGATCAATTCCTGAAGGAAGCCAGGGACTAGCCCTCCCATGCGTAGGCAATGTTTTGTAGATATCAGATCTGCATGTTCGGATGTACAAGCGCATCAGATAAAAGCAAAGATTTCAAAATCAAGAACAATGATCACTATCTATGGCATAACCTGAGAGAAACAGGGTCAAAGAACTGTAGCACTCCCTTATAATATTATCCCAGCTATCACATGGCTCTGATATCCTATCTATTTTATAAAGCGCCTTAACTATTGGGTGTCGTTGTAGGTCTGATGTTTAGTATTATCGAAGTTTGTGTGTATTTTGTATGTAGTGTATGTATGTATACGTATGTATGTGTGTCCGTCCGCAAAATGAAGTGAGTGAGAAGGAAGCTCATGGGATAAACAAACCGCTAACAGAATCATGTAGCTCACAGGACTTTAGCTATTAGTGTTTTGCAATGGCATGATTGTGATAACACCCCAACGGCTATATAAACACGCACTTAGCACACTTTCGGTCATTCGACAAGGTGATGCTGTGGGTGTAGCCGCGACAGAGGGAACAGGGCAGTTAGGGAGAAGGATAAGGAAGCACGGAATAGGGACGCTTCGCGCTATGCCGGTGGAAAATCTGGTGATTCGATAAATAATGTCCGATCATTTGTAAACCACTATGCATAATCTTGTAGGTGAATGAAGTATTCCTTTTCTTGATAATAGCGTTGTTAGCGTCAATATGCTGAGTAATATGATATGCATGGCGCAATTTTCTGGGATTCACAACTGTTTGCAAGCCCTGCGAAAGCTCACCTCTTTTGAATGTTCTGACCACGTGAACGACGGCCGCCGACTCGCTGTTGCAGATTTTAGTAATTCTAGAACGATATAAAAATGAGATTGATCGAACATAATCCCATTTATAACAAGTTTTCCACTTACCAATTTCTTCCTTGATCTCAGTTCGGAAGTCATTTCGCGCATCGGAGACGTCCAATCGCTTCTGAAATTATTTCAGACGGGATTTTATTTACTGCTTCTATTCAAATTGCACACTCCTTTTTCTGGAGACGGCAATATTACGCCGTTTTGAACAACTCCAATTGAACATACGAACCAAGTGACACACGGAGGTGGATTCACATTAACCAGTGGCAGTGGCATAAGTGCGTCCGCCTCCAGGCGATGGAGTCGGCGGAGGCGGGCAGTCGCACGCGCGATAGGCCGGACGCATAGTCGGTCGGACGACAGCAACGATCTGCAAGTGTCGCACAGCATTGGGTGCGTATCGATCTGCGACACTTGCGACACTTACGACCGCTGCTGTCGGACGACAGCAACGATCAAGTGTCGCAGATCAATACGCAGCTACTATTCCACACTACAGTGGGACTTTCGAAATACGATCACGCGCAGTCACGTGTTGTCTGGGTTAGCATTGGGTGACCGCGTCGCCTTCCATTTGCGACCGCGGTTTATGCGACACCTGCGGTCGTTGCTGTCGTCCGACAGCAGCAGTCGTTGCTGTCGTCCGACCGACTATGCGTCCGGCCATACGAATACGTACTCGAAGGTCTCAGCTCTCACGCATGCAAATGACGACGCCCCTTAATTAGGCTACATTCCCCCTGGCTCACCTTTCTTGCGTCCACACGACCGGAGGCGGCGACTCCCCTCCCCCTCCCGACCCACATGCGCCGTGCCACTCTGCATCATGGTGAACTCATTTTTGATTCTCTGCTTTATTAAAGGATCGATATGACAAAGGATCGATACTTAAAAAATGCTCTGGGTGTTGTAACGCAGTGTGTCATGTACACGCCATTGGGGACGGCGCGACCACGTTCGTCTGTCCCTAGCTTTTCCTGAACGTTATATTATCCGCACGTGATGCACCGTGACAGTCTGACAGCAGTTAAGGAACTGAGCCCTGACCTGTACGGATTAGACACTGCCTTTGCCGCGTTTACGCCCCATGCAAGTCCAGTTCTGCCTGCTCAGAACAAACATCTGATGGCAAATTAAAACAACGATTCTGGAGTATGTACGTAAGCAGTGACCGTACCAATATGTAGTCGTGAAATGCTGTAGTAAGTGTGCCTATAGTGACCCATTGCGTCATTTTACTGCGGTAGCACACATTGCGCCTCATCCTCATCTCGCATGCTCACTGTTGCCGCATTCCTATACTAAGACTCCGTATACCGACTATGTATCTCTTAAAGGTTCGCTCTTTATCTTAGGCAAAGGTCGGGCTCAGTCGCGCTAGAGGAGTAATTCCCATGCCCGGAGGTTGTATGTGAGTAGCTGCACACAATGCACAACTTCCCACCTTGAAAAAAGTCGTTAAGCCCCCGGGGGCGTCGTTTTCAATCCGGGACCGCCCACCTCGCCGAAGTGGTGCGTGGCTGGCATAGAGACAACCCTGCGTTGCGCAGTTCGCAACGGCACGTTGAGAGATCCTCAACGCACGCTGTTATGGGCGGAGACGCAGACGGCTCGAGCATGCGAGTGTGAATGTTCGCGCAGAGAACGTGTTTAATCGGCGAACTGCGCAACGTGGTCGTTGAGAACTGCGCAACGCAGTTGAACTCTCTGCGCATACGTGTGAACAGTAGCCGTTATGCCGTATCAACCGATAGAACGACTGACATCTCCAGAAAACTTGTTTGTACGTGCCTCTTCCCCAAGCCAGCCTCCTTCACTGCTAGTGGGAAAGAGGGTTTTGTTAACGGCCTTGTCGACGGTTTTTCTCAGTTTTTTCTCCACTGTCGTTCCACTTCGCATCTCTATACTCAGTTTCAATAATACCCCCTTATTGAGCCCGACTTCCTTCAATGTGCGTAATTATACGTATGGGTCGCACGTTATAGCGTGACTGAGTTTCATCTGGATTTTACTTTCTTGATTGCACCTCCACTTGATCCGAAGAGCTTCTTCGTTGCCTCTTAAATACTCCAGGCATGCCTTCTATTCCGCTTACGCAGCATGTGCAACCACCCCTCAGCCAAACGTCACCGAGAACATTTGATAGAAATTCGTACCGGTCTCTAAAGACAGCAATATTTCCCTCTAAATGCATGATTAAAGACGCCCAACGGCTCGAGTAACTCAAGCGCCATAACTGTTAATAGTAGTGACACGTCTTTGATGGGTAATCCTACGGTGTGTAGTATTAAAAGTATGGAAACGAGACCAGCTGGCACCGAGCCGAGGCCAATCGAAGCTATCGTAGCGGTGACGCTAAAAATTAGTATTAACCGCAGGGAAAGCTACATAAAGCAGATGGAGTGTACCTATACAGTCCATACTTCGCAAATGAGAGAATCACATTGGTAGCGGCAAAAAAATCACAGCAACAGCTCGTAAAGGGCTTACCATCCTAAAAAACTATCTATCTCATAACCGATAGGCAGAATATTTTCTGCCTCTTCTGCCAATCCTGGCGAACCACCATATTAATTCTGGACCTAGAGGAAGCACGAAGCTGTATATCATCATCTAGTGCAGGTCTCCATACATTGCAGCACAGGAAGTCAGCTCCACTAACTACTGAAACAGATACGTGGAGGTTAAATTGGCAACATCCCGCATCATCGTACCTGAAGCCGTTCCAAAAGCTTGACAATCGCCTGCCCGACCATCCGCGTACAAGAACATCGGCATTCTTCTTGATCAAGAAATACAGAATTCGGACACGTAATTTAAACTGTGTGTAGAGTAGAAAAGTCGGCGATTACCGTAAGCGTAGCTCCAAACCATGATATCATTTCTTCATGATTATAATCGATTTTTATCTACACCATATTATAACACGAAATAAAACATAAAACCAGCCAATCCATGCACGGGATCGCAATTTTCAACATGCTATGAAACTCGGGCTATTCCACTAGGGGTCATCACGGTGCGCGGTGACTCCCAAAAAGCTACGGTAACTCTGAGCCAGGGGGAGTGTAGCCAGCCTAGGGGGTGGGGGTGAGGGCAGTCACTTGACATGCGTGAGAAGCTGGAATGTTCGAGTTTACATTAGCTCGCCGAGAAACTGCATCATGATGCCCCCCTACTGGAATAGACCCAAACTCATTTTCTAGAAGTTTCAGTTGTTTTGTTGCATATACAGTCGATAAACTCATTACTTAGATTAATGGAATTTTCGCACTTGAAGTGATAGCATGAGAAGCGAAAAGCATCATGTTCTCAAAAATAAACGGAGAAACGTCAAAAGGCACGAAATAAAATCCGCCGCTCCAACAGCAGTAAAGGTACTGACAGGGGGCGTATCTGACGAGTTCGACACCATCCAATCGGACACCGGCAAGCTAGCATCGATACAGCAAGACGCAGTTCCTACCCCTGAGCGAGCCACGACCAGGCTGGGTAGACCGCCTCCATGGTAGGCGGTCATACCCTAGGCTGTGCGATTACAGCTGAATCCGGCAGAGCGTTATTACTCCACGTCGTCAACATGCATCCACCTCGTGAGTTGCAACTCAGTAATATAAAATGTTTGTTGACTCACCCCACATGATGCTTCTTAAAGCAAACAATCCAGGAACGAATTCGCGGGTAAGGACCACCTATAATGACGTTGCAGGTGAGAAGTTGGTCAATGGAGAAAGAAAAAGTAGAAAAAACGTCGGGCAGGGGCTTAGACAGGGACTCCCCCTGCCGTTTAGGGAGACGTGTGTTGGACGAGTTGTCCGAACCTGCCCGTAGTACATGCGCTCCAATTGCAACTGCTGGCAAATAGCCATGCATGCTTGCAAATACATAACTATTTGCCAGCAATCGAAATTGAAGCGCTTCAATTGCTCTTATGGAATCGACCTCATACAGCGCGGCGGTCCCGCAACGACCGCTAGTCGAGCAAGCGCTCTGCACAGCTGCTTGGAGGCGGCCCCACCACGGATCGGTGGATCCGCCCCTCTTGAAGGATTTCGACTGCTTCCAACGCCTTTCAGAGGTAAGTTTTGAAGTTTGTGACATTTCCCCATGAACTCCAATCAGGCTGAGGCATGTTTCCACCACTTGAAAACCAAAACCCTGCCTGGGCTGTTGCTTTAAGAGTGTAAGGTCTCGTCTGCACTCATGGAAAGCCCCGGGCTCGATCGCTGTCCTAATCATAACCATGACAGCCTGGAAATTAGGTCTTTTTACCTAGTATCTCTTCCAAGCTATATGGAAGTGCGTGTCTATCCAATTTTATTTACTTCTTTACTAGGAGTGAATCGCTCTCTAGGATAGTTGCACATTGCTAGAGATAGCTGAATAACCAAGAACTGGAGCATCTGAAGAGCCACGAGTTGGCCCCGACAAGGCAAGACTATTCAAGCAGAAATGCACAGACAAGGAAAATTCATCAGTATGGTGTTACTTCCAACAACACGTTGAAACTGGCTTCGCAATGGTACGTTTGCACTCGCAATCACCGCATTACGGAGTCTCGAGCTGACTCAGCCTGAAGCAGTTGTGGCATCTACCTTGCAACAGTACAGTTCTGACACTTCTCGAGGCGGAAGTGGTGGTGTAGTGACAAGTGGCGCGCTTACCACGCGAGCGGTCCGGGATCAAATCCTGGGTCGTGAGTCGCCCGGGCCAACCAAGCCTTCCATCCCTCCGGGGTCGGTTAATTGGTACCAGACTTGTCTGGGAGGATAAAAACACTGACTTGTACATCGGCTGGCCCCCGCAAGTCATTGTATAGGCCACATCGCATTCAAACGCCACTACGAATGTACAAATGGAAGTAGAATGCGTGCCGCATCCCAAAAAGGGATTGATCAACGGCAAATGCTTTATCCTTTATCCTTTTATCCTCTGCAACCAAAAAGCAGCACTCCAAAATTTCGCGGCGCGCCCTGCCGCACAAACGTCCGCTTCGCCGTTACGCGACGAGGCGGGTCTTGCGCACGATCCTCGCGCCTCGCAGTGGTGCAGAACCCGCTGCGGCCATAGACGCGTGCAGCTGGATCAGTGTATGCCAACGCCTACATCTACAGCGAGACGCCTCTGCCAGCTGATGACATCTCGTCATGGCCCTCATTGAATACACAGAGAAAAAACAATAACAAATCGATAACAAGGTACTGGCGCAGAGTCAACCGGCGTGCCAGTTCACCACGTTGGACCTCAACGCACGCTGATATGGGCAAGCGCAGACGCTCGCGGCATGCGAGGTTTGAATGTTCCGCGACGATAACGCGTTAATCGCTAAGCAAACCGGCGAACGGGGTGGTGAAAAACGGCGCAACGCGGGTTTGCCTCTGACTGCGCGCCCCGCCTCAAGCGCGGTTACGGTGCTACCTACGCAACCTACTGAGAAATCGTTTGTGTAATGTATGGGGTGACAGTAAGCGCGTCATGACCAGTTTGATGCCCACCCCCCCATGTACAACAAAATCACTAGAATTGCAAGAGACCTGTGATCATACTAACTCGATTAACTAGCAATAATCCAGAACTGATCAAGAAATAGTACAATAATAAGAAGTGACTTACAGTAATAGAACGCTGGCGGTATCGGACAAATCATCAAGTTCCAGTAGGTTACCACAAACCAAACATGTAATACCGAGTGGAGCAAACCTTAACAATGTTCCGAATAAAGTCAATTAGGCTCAAATTATTACGATCCTACCACATAGGTTCAACCATCGCATCAATAACGGCATCCAGAATCACGAAAAAATCGACGACATTCGTGCTCGTCACATGTAGATCACTATACGAAACCCTACAGATACATATATACCTGCAAAAGTTCTCTACTCCATATCGCTGGCGAGCGCTAACTTAACGGTAACTAAGTAAGTATACATGGTATAGAAGCCGAATCAGTGAAAAAAGGTTTCATATCTCCTATCGAGTAATGAGCGTTCATCTTGACAACTCGTCCGAATTTTTATTGTCATATTGTATCGATTTAGACCATACAACGAGGCAACAATTTATAAAGTTACCCTTGACTCCCCAGACATAGGGCTCCAGTACTCAAAGCAGCAATCAGATCTCTAAGTGGTGACGCTATTGATAGTCTTGTTTCTACCTCTCTCTTCCCTCTGATTGTTTATATTTATTCTTCGTAGTCGGGGGCCACCGACTCTCCAACGATGAGTTCTCAATCTGTATTAACGAATGGTTTCGATTTCCTTCAAGGAGTCCATAACCGTGCTTCAAATCGTTCGCATTTAACGCCACTAATTAATCTAAACAATTGGCCTTATTTCCGTTAAATTACGCAATAACAATCTTTAAATGGAAGCTCCATAACTATTACTAGCTATGCTCCCTCTTTAAGTAACAACAAAAACTTACACGGCTAAAGATCTCATAGCAAGCCAATTAAGCCTCAGCAGTGTAAGCAACAGAAGAGAATTGCAGCTGCCCGCGTATAAAAGAAAGCGTACACGCCCGATCGTACAAATGGTGATTAGGGCCGCTAATCTTTACGGAGCTGCAACCAGCGACCCCCGTTGCAGCGCTTCCCACCCACCACTGGCGACCAGCGCAATCTCACGAAGGACGTGCTCTTTCGAATGCTCTGTCTTCTCTCAGCGTTTTGTGTCTCGCTGTCGTTCCCCATCTGAACTTTCTAGAGTCCTCAATTTCGAGTCTTCAATTTTAGCGCTTGGGATGCCTCCGCTTGCGTTTCTTTCCACTTTAACACGTTGACGACATTGTCAGCGCACTGCGCATCACACTAAGCAGCCGTGGACTGTGCACGCATGCGCTGCTATACATACATTATACGAAGTTATACGGTATTATATCTTTATTAGGTTGGAAAGAAAGTCCTGCAACACTTTTTCAAATTTTTGATTTTAATTTTATCTTTTTTGGTTACAACTCCTGACCGGTCTTATATCTACCATGAGTGTCCACCACTTGTCTCCAACGCTCAGAAAATTTCTTGATGCTCCTTCGCCAAAACCAGCGGAGTGGAGAAAAAAAAAAAAAAAAAAAAAAAAAAAAAAAAAAAAAAAAAAAAAAAAAAAAAAAAAAAAAAAAAAAAAAAAAAAAAAAAAAAAAAAAAAAAAAAAAAAAAAAAAAAAAAAAAAAAAAAAAAAAAAAAAAAAAAAAAAAAAAAAAAAAAAAAAAAAAAAAAAAAAAAAAAAAAAAAAAAAAAAAAAAAAAAAAAAAAAAAAAAAAAAAAAAAAAAAAAATAATTTGATAATTTATTTTAATTCTTTTCATTAAATGATGATTAAGTCTAGGATAGATGGCATTAGTTCACAGCTCGACCAATGGAATACGCTAAGCGAAATGAGAAATCTTGTCGCAGCTCCAGAATTTCTTACCGGGCTCATTTGATTCTAAGATTCGAAATGCATGATAAGAAATAATTATTTTGCGTACAAGCTCCTGACGTGCTCCTCGCCAGCTTCTAACTCCGCGCGCTGAACTCTAGCTTACACAGTGGGCTACCCATACGAAAAATTTTTAGTGAGTTCTGTAGACTTACCGGCAATGGAGTGTATGGGACGCTGCTGGTTTCTTATAAAAATATCAAAAGATCGAAAGCGCTGGTAAAGCTGAAACACGCTGTATCGCTGAACGGCATGCCATATAGAAGCTATTGCAGATAGTGTCAGTCGTTGACACGAATCCATGGTTTTGTAGACATTTGTACTAGACAGTGACTCGGAGTACGGATTTGCTAGTGGTCGAGATTTTTTGAATTCTTGTTAATATGCAGCATCACTTATATCCACCTCGTGGATTGAAGCCTTGAGAATGCTCTATCATTTGGTAGTCATAAATGTTACCTATGAATTTTTCAGAAAAAAAGAAAATTTTGGAAAGAGTGTTGCAGAACTTTCTTTCCAACCTAATAATTTTTTGCATCTATTCCATAGACTACACCATAATATGACTAGACACGGCAAGGTTCATCGAATGGTTGAATATGCTCCTTTTTAGCAAAGGTTTTCCAAGTCCTACGAATTTCCCAATTGTGTTCATTCCTAGTTTTCTTTAATTCTGACAACCTCGGTCATAAAAAAGAGTAGTAAAAGCAAGTATAGACCTACACATATAGCAAGATACAAGTTTTTAGTGAAGCAACCGAGTCAAAAATAATTTTGAGGTCCACTACAGCAAGAGCTACTGAAAATTGCCTTTTCATTGCCAGAAAACGTCCATTCGATTGAACTTTTACAGTTGTTCCTTCTGAGAAGTTTGATACATCGAATATCATTCGAAACATTTTGTTGCATCCGAGTTTTGCATAGTTAAAGCTCAAAATTCACGGATTTATGTGAGGCGGCGGCGCCTGCAAAATCGCCGTGGTCCCACGCGGTGCAAAAACCCAAAACGCGCGTTGTCGTCAACGTGTTAATTCAATACCCCAGCTCGTCTCTTCTCCTGT